ACATTTTAAAAATTTATTATGGCTTTTAAAAAAAAAAAAAAAAAAAAAAAACATTGGCTGTGATTGTAAATTATTAATATATTACACTACGATACGTTTAATTATTTCTAATTTTTTTTTTTTGCTAGTATTCGATGTATCGCAAGGTTTATGCAAACATTCGAGCCTCAAGTGAAGTACATTTAATTATGTACAAAAGCAAGTAATTGCAACAATCAAGTGTGAAACTTGTCAATTATCGAGAACATGACGAAACAAACTATTTTCCGTGCCTTAAATTCAATAATACGTATATTCAGCGCAGGGATTTTTAAGGAAAAACCTTGTAACGACTTTTGTTACAACGAAAAATAATGAATATAAAAAAAAAAGAAACATCCATTGATAAATCAGCGACAAACAAATAAAATATTTTTTAATGCGTTTATACCGAACGAATGGGCGAAAAATCAAACAACTCGCAAGTCTTGCATTTATCTTTTAACTGGAAGAAAGATAAAGTTGAAAGGTAAAAAATCTCAAATTTCCCTCACCCCCCATTCCCCTTTTTTCAATGAAGAAACTCGTTGAGCATCAAACACTTTATATTGGTTGTGTTGTAACAGCTGACATTAAGTAAATTTTTTATACAACTTTTTTTTACACCTAAACGTGCATTCGCATGCATTTTTACCTATTCTCAATACGCTTTTAGTGAAAAAAAATAATAATTTTTTAAGTTTAAATCGCAATCTCAGTCATCTCTTTATGAATATCTTAAATTATATTTTTATTTCCTTCTCAAACCAAAAACGAACAAAACAATTATAGATGCATTTTTCCTTCTCTCTTTTTTTCTAGTTAGAGGTTAACATTTTTTTATCACGCAAGGGCATTACTTACAAGGCGATCGTGTTTTTTTTTCTTTTTTTTTTTTTTTTTTTTTTTTTTTTTTTTTTTTGTTTTTTTTTCCAACATGATTGTGAGCAAAAACTTTCCTCGCTGTTATTTCACAATCATCTTAAAGGTGATTGTTCGACAAATTTTTTTAAAAGCAAATCTCAGATCAGTACGAAAACACGAAAAAATCAATCCCTCTGGTATATCCCCCTTGTAACACTGTCCTACAAAACACCTACATGCAAGAATACCAAATTGCGTTTCGATTGTTATAATTTCTAATCTGCGCTGTTTTATCAGTGCTGCGTTCACCAAAGATGCGTCTCCTACAACAAATGTAATATTATTAATACTATTGATAACAATGATAATAATTTATGTACATGTACAATGGATTGCGTTGCTCCTCCGCTTCTACGTTTACTCTCTTATTTTCGATATGGCCACAAAAAAAAAATAAAATAATGCACAAGTATGAAAAAAATTCTATATCAATAAATCAAGGTTTTCACACCAGAGTAAGCTTCAAATTCGGTTAGCAAGATCTAACTTACTTTATGCCATTAAAGTAGTTGAGATTGTATTTACATCACCCGTGGGATGTAAAAAAAATTGGAAATACCACGAACTCGAAACTACTTGACTTAATTTTACGGATTTTCAAACGAAAATTCTAAAATTGATGAAACACAAATGGATCATATCCACAAGCATTTTGTTTCACGTGACTCCGAGTTGTGGTTGTATGATACAAGAATGAAAAATTAATAAAAATCGAAGTAACGAGTTGTTGGCTAGAAAATGGATAAGAGGAAACGTACATTGATAAAAGAGGAAATATTTTTTTTTACGAAAGAAACTCTATTTCACATATACGTATGCGAGTTTTTTTTACTAACCATTTTCTTCGGAATTTTATCGTTCCCGAACATTTCGGGAGCTTTGTATACTGATTGTAAAAAAAAAAATAATAATAAAATACTTTTGATTTTTAATAAAATCATAATTAACACTATGTAAATCTTTTTTTTTTTTTTCATTATTTCCTGATATGTTTTTTATTATGTACTAAAAACAAATGCCGTAAGCGTTTTAAACTTTAAATCCTCAAAAACCTTACTCTTACTGTACTTAGTTTATAGACAATTCATAAAATTCATAAACTCTGTGCTGTGTTAAATTTTTCAACCTTTTCAGTGATAATTTATTCAGGAAGATTTTTTTGCGTAAAGAATGTTTTTATTAAATTATATACACACTGCGTAATACCATTAAAACTTATTTATTCTTACAAACTTGGCTTTAACTGGACGGCTAGGTCGAGTAATAGCATCTGCAACTGCTTCAAAATCACCTAATTTATCAACTGGTTCTATGTAAAAGTTGTACAAAATAGTTGAAATCACTGACTTTAACTCCATCATTGCCAGCTTCTGACCTAAAATTTAATTAATGATACTTTAAACTAGGTTAGCAACGCAACTGAGGTGCAATTCAACTGATAACAAATAAAAACTATAAAACAATTATATTCCTTCGTTACCAATGCAATTTCGAAACCCAGCACTAAAGGGTATGTAGGCGAACGGGTGACGATTGTTGACTTCATGAGGTAGAAATCTGTCAGGATCAAACTTGTCTGGCTCAGGCCAGAAGTTTGGGTCACGATGCACGTCAACGATATGTATCATCACGTTCGATCCTTTGGGAGCCAAACAATTTTCTGAAATTCGAAAAAATTTATTAATATAATTTGAAATCCCTAGACAAGTGACAAACTCAGTGATAATATATGGTAATTGTGTTACTCATTTGTAGGTCTTCGGTCATGTATCTGACGATTGTTGGGACTGGCGGGTACAAGCGCATGGATTCTTTAATGCATCTCTCAACATACTTTAAATCATTAAGAGCTGAAAAATTTAAATTTCCGCCGTTCTGATTGAAAACTTCCTCCACCTCTTTTCTAGCCAGTTCCTAACATTAGTAATGGAATAAGTTAATATTGAGCTTGAATTGAAGTGAAAAAAAAAAATGTGTTCCCAACATACTTGGACATCCTTGTGTTCTGCAAGTAACAACGTAGTGAAGATAAAAGCTGTACCAGTTGTATCATGTCCTGCAAAAACAAAAGTGGCAACTTCCTCTTTTATACCCTCATGATCTATTAACTTGTTCCTTTCGGCAGCTAAAAGGAGATCGAGCATAGCTAGTTGTTTCTTTTTCCCTTCTGAAATTAAATTTAACGAGTTGAATATTTTTTTTTTTTTCACAACAAACGTCGCAATGAATATAATTACTGTAACAATCATCTTCATCCAGATTCTCGACACAATCAAATTTTTCTAAATTTTCGTAATTAGATTCTTCATGATACTGCCGTCGTTTCACTACAATCTGAAAAAGTTAATAACATCTGTAAAAATCTATTAAATAAAAAACAGGTTATTTTGACAACTAACGGTATATTTACGTCATTTATAAACTTATCCATATCATATGCACTTTTTTTGAGTCTTTTATTTATGTGGGGTACAAAAGGTAATGCCCAATCTTTCAAATACGGTCTAAGATTCCTGCAAAAGCACCAAGTGTTATTTTGCATTATAACGTATTCCAAAAATCAATGGAGAATGTTGAGCTTGATTTTACCTGTATATTATCAAAGTGTTCATTTCGTGGATTGCTTTTTTGTACTTCGTCGCTGCTTCTACATTATCTTCACTGTCTATGGCCACGCCCATCGCTGAATCTTCGGGGAAATTTGTTACTTATTTAATACATTCTATTTTTTTCAATTTGTATGGCATGTAATAGTTACTTACCACAGAGTACATTCAAAGTAAATTTTATACAAAATGGCTCCAGATCAATAATTGATTCAGAACCTAATGTCTTCATTTCGAAGATGTATTTATCGGTGTGTCGTATAATTGTTTTCATAAGTTCTTTTAGAATATTGAAATGGAAAGCTGGTGTCAGTATCCTTCGTCTGTGAAACCAATAGTCGCCTTCGTAAAAAAAATACAGTATTTTATGATTTTTGTACAATTATACTTATGAAATTAAAAAAATTACAAATTAGACAAACTTCTACTTGTTAAAAGACCAGATTTCAACCATGGGGTAAAATAAAAGTATCCAAAATTTTTGTTGATGTGGTTTTTACTCGTTAATAAAATCTAAATGCATTTTTAATTGAAACAAAATTATAACTTAAACTGTTCGAGTAAGATAATTTATTTGGATGTATAAAAATTATTTTTTAATAAAATACAACCTCCAAGTCATCTGGATGAGATATATTAATTATTGCCATATCGATTATCCACATTCGATAAACCGGATAATAAGCCTTTCCCCACTTTCGCAGTATTCTATAGAAATCGACTGTAATAAAGGAAGAATATAAACATATGTGTATAAGGTATCGGTATTTAAATGTATTTAGTTGTCAATTCAATTATTCTCAAGTTGTTGATTCAGACATGAACTTGATTTTCTGATAACTATACGAGTAGTTTGGATAAAATATGTTTGTCATATGTCATATCACGTTTACGGGTTTATAAAAGTAGAAAAAAAAAAAAGATGATTGTGTAATATCAAATCAATCAACATTTTTTATTACGATCTTCTACAGAGGTCTAGTTTTGGAGTTACCCCTTTGTTACCGATACTCTTATCTTATATTTTTTTACATACAACGTTAATAATATCTGCCGATGACTCCAAATGCTCTTATACATTGTTATTTCAATTTTTTTAAAGCTTTTATTTAAGGATGTTCATCACGCATAGCGTTTTTTGTAAGATCTTCCTAAAATTTCAACATGATGTTTGTAGTGACGTTAGAAAGTTACTTGTAAAATTTGAGACCGTTTTATCATACCGTTTTTTAGATATTAAATGTTGAAAAAATTTCTACTTAACACGTATCTTATAAAGGAGTCACTTTTGAGGGTTGGGCGTACCCTCAGTAGGAAAAATGGTGTTCGGCATACAAGCGCCATGAAATTTTCGTGACGAAAAGTACCATTTATTCTTTATGGCGCATTTAAATAAAAGCTTGTTTAAAAAAAATTTTTTGTACAGTGTACCTCATGCTTTACGTCCGGCTCTGTTAACAGGAGCACACCTCTCTATTACGTTGCCCACATTGACAGACAACCAGTTACATTTCCAATGCTAAATTTTAACGAAATATTGATGTGTACAATAAATAAACTGGATAATAAAAAATTCTACTCACATGCTTCTAAATTAAGTTGCAATGCATTTCCTATGATAGGCAAGGCAGGTGGACCAGGGAGTTGGTTCACAATTTTTCTTCTCCTACTATCGCGTAGGTGATGACGAAGAACTAGCAATGTTAATACTACCAAAACTACGTAAAGTAACATGACTAAAATGTTACTTCGTTTGTTTTTTTACAATAGAAATTTCAGTCATAGCTGGAAACAGTAGCCTGTTATACTTTGATTTAGGTTTTACTTTTTTGTAATTGTGATATTTCTATCAGAGCTTTTTTTTGGTTGACATGTATGTTAAAAACGTCTGAGAATTATAACGGTATTATGTAATATACTCTTTAAAAAAATAGTAATGTCTAAACGAAATACAAGGAATTGACTACCTTTACTTCCAGAAATAATAAAATAAAAATGCGTTTTAATAAGATAAGTATTTCTTAACAATTCTTTCAGATGTCCTATCAGACCAATAGTTCTTGATGGTAGCTTAAATGCAACTGAGCACGTTTTGGAGTGATATCTCATTTGTTCTTTCGAATAATTAATAATTCTTAACTAAATAGAATATTAAAGACTTCAGATTATCTCATTCATTAAAAAATTAATAATTGAAACGTTAAAAGATAATAGTAGGGAAAGCACGACGCGATGGTGCAATGCTACTTTTTCATTTGGTCGTAGCTTTTTTTTTTTTTTTTTTTTTTTGTACATCAGGCGTTCTTAAAAGATAATATTAAGATAGTGTACAATAAAATTTTTATTGAGGACTTTTACAAAGACTTTTGTCAATCGAAATGACTTTTATTATGAAGGGAAGTGTCCAAGCCTACACGCGAAAACTTTACACGCCCACGTTAGCCAAAATGTTATATCTAAAATGGATAGATATACAAAAAGTATGGTGTGTAAAGTTGTTGCGTGTAGTTTTGGACCCTTCCCTGAAAGTAATCGAAACTACGGTATTTCTAAACTATTCTAGAATATTTTTTTACTTGTAAGTTAAACCTAACAGAAATATATTTCTATCATACTACACGAAACTAAATGAACAAATTACGTAGTTGGTTTAATCAGGATTTTTCGACACTGACGTACTTTATGTACAAATTTAATAAAAAAAAAAGTTAAAAAATGTTGTGAAATCAGCAAAATTTAATTTAATCACAATTCGTTTTTTATTCGATAGTCAAATTACAGTGAACACTACTATCTGTCTATTTTAACGAATCTCGTTTGTACAGGACGGTTCGGGCGCAAGATAATATCTGCTACCAATTCAATGTCACAGAGACGATCGATCGGTTCCAAATGAAAATTGTACAAAATCAGGGCCATAAGAATTTTCAACTCTATCATTGCAAACTTTTGACCTACAATATTAAGAAACAATTAGTGCCATAAACGATTTGACGTTAACCGTATACTTAATTCAGTTGACACGATTTTTTGTTCTCTTACCAATGCAATTTCGGAATCCAGCACTAAATGGAATGTAGGAAAATGGATGACGTATGATCGTTTTATCGGGTAAAAATCTGTCGGGATCGAATTTGTTCGGTTCTGGCCAGAAATTCGGATCGCGGTGGACATCAACGATAGACAAAACGACATTCGATCCTTTGGGCACGAGACAGTGTTCTAAAACAATTTATAAAAAAATTTCACCAATACTACAAAGCCATGATTTCAATTAACCTTATTACTCAATTGCAAATCTTCTGTCATTTCCCGACTTATTGAAGGGACCGACGGATATAATCGAAGAGATTCTTTGATACATCTTTCCAGGTACACCATATCTTTGAGATCTGAGAAATCAAATATGCCGTTGTTCCGACGAAAAATTTCCTCAACTTCTTTTCTTGCTCGACTCTGAAGTGGAAACGTACATGCACATGTAGAAAGGACTTTTTATCAAGAATTGAAAATTAGATATTGTTCGAGTAACAAATATATTACTTGAATTTCTTCGTGGTCCGCTAATACCATAATAACGAAGGTCATGGCCGTTTCTGTGGTATCATGTCCTGCAAAGACAAAAGTAGCAACTTCCTCCTTTATACCTTCGTGATCTATTAACTTGTTTCTTTCAGCAGCTAAAAGGAGATCGAGCAAAGCTAATCGTTTCTTAGTTCCGTCTGCAATGTAAAAAAATCTTGGAAATTTTCTAAAAGTCTACGTGAAATTATAATTAAAATAAATTACCCAAATACATATCCTTCAAGTCCTGGGTATCATTCTGAAGTTGTTCCAAGTCCTTGTAGTTATTTTCTTGATGGTACTGTCGTCGTTGCTTTATTATCTTAAATGTTAGATATTTTAGATCATCAGTAAAACACAGCTATAAATGTATTTACCTCATTGATAAATCTGTCACTTTCAGTAATACTGTTTTTTATTTTTTTGTTTATATTAGGTAATAAAGGTAGTATCCAATCCTTGATGTAGGGCCTCAGTAATCTGGAGAAATAAAATCAACCATTTTAATATTGTCTAATTATTTTTTTTAATTAATAAAAATAATTAGTTAATAACAAATAAATTAGTTAATGAGTATTTTTAATTTCAAGTTTCCCGATTACTGTTATCATTATGAGCTAATTAAAGCTCGGAAACTCCTGAAATCATAACTGGTTTTTAATCGATTTATCGTATCGTATAAACTTTTTCCTCATAGACAAGTCAAACGAGAAGTTTCGTAAAAAAATATACCATAAATTAGATGATAATAACGATGCTGTCAATCGAACGTTATTCCAACATTAGGTGTGGGTGCAACATATTTGTGAAAGGTGATGGAATTTTTTTGTCGGAGGGAATGGCCATTATCCGATGAATCAATATTTATTACCTGTACACCACCATATAAACCATGTCATCCAATGCTTTTTTATAATTTGCTGCTTCGTTGCCTGTTTCTCCATCCACAACTGCACCCATCGATGATTCTAAAAAATCCAATTACCCTTTTGGGTAATCAAACGTAATTCTTATCGTTATAGTACGCTTGTTTGAAGTATACTCACCGCAAATGATCTTTAAAGAATATTCCGTACAAAATGGCACTAAATTCACATCGATTATTGAACCTTTATTTTTCAAGTTGGAGATGAGCGTTTCTGCTCGTTCTAACATCATTTCCATCTGTTTCTTCAGAATATTAAAGTGGAAAGCCGGTGTTAAAATCTTTCGTCGATGGTGCCATTTTTTCCCTGGAATACACATCAAATTCAACCAAAGCTAAACGTTCATCCTCCGTTCGGTTCTTATTTTTTATTCGACTATTTGACTAAACTAACTATTCGACTAAAGAGTATTCATTCATATCTTAGATATTAACCTGAACTCGTCAAAAGGCCGCTTTTCAACCACTTGTGTAGATGCTCGTACCCAAATTTCTTATTAATGTGATTTTTGCTCGTCAAAACTATCTGAAATGACATCGGATACGAAAGTTACGTTTGCAATAGGAGATACTGAGTTTGATTCGATCACCTCAATGTCATCCGGATGACGAATATGCACCAAAGGCACGTTGACAATCCACACTCGAAAAATTGGATAGTACGTTTTGCTCCATTGCCTAACTCGTTTGAATATTTCCGCTGCGAAAACAAACATCTCACTTTTTGTACTTGGGTACAACAGGTAACTCTTCATTTTCCAATAAATTTATATTTATTTGATACGTTACTTGACTCGTTTATAAATTCACCGCTTAAAAAATGTTTTACCTGGTGACACATTCACTTGCAAAGCATTTCCCAAAATAGGAAGCATAGTCGGTCCGGGTAATCGGCTCATTAATTTCCCGCATCGGCCGTGATGCAGGTATAAATGCAGAAATACCAAGCACAACAACACGAATAATAAAAAATACTCCATTTCCCCTCGATTGTTGTGGATGTAATGGTTTATACTAGGTGTCTTTTGGTCTGCAAATGTATTTACGGTTGGATATAGTATTGTATATATTTATCAATGGTGCGTTGTACGAGCTACAAGTAATAGATATACAATTATTTAAATGAACAACAAAGTTGTTGGATTAATCCCTCATTTAAAGTTAAGCCACCCTTACCTACGATGAATTTAATTCTTAAACCATCGATCCCAACATCCGGCAGTTACTTATTTCAACTCACTGGAAGATTTCAATGAAACACAACGTTGGTTTTGTTGAAAAGCTTAGTTAACTGCTCGAAACTTCAAAGGCAAACAAAAATTGTGGTGGGGGTCAAACATTCATCGTTGATTTGCCAGATGTACAATTCATGCAGAGTCAAGTTTTTGTGGTGTTTTTTTTTTTTTTTTTTTTTTTTTTTTTTTTTTTTTTTTTTTCCTACGCAACGTTAATCTGTGATTATTCCTTATAAAAAAAATTCAGTTCGGTCATGCAGAGCGTATTCGAATTGAAAAATAAAATTTTATCAGACAAACGTCCATGAGATTAAACTCGTGATGTTGGAGAGTTTTTCTTTTTGCGAAATTATGTCATCGTGTTGATTTTATCCAAATGATTTCGAAATTTTGATCAAGTAATTTCGACAGAATCATAGTAATAAAACAGTAACGAAATGACTCATGAAAATTGTAATGGATCATAGATCATAAAAAAAGTGCGAGTAATATAACGATTATAACGATGCATATTTCAAGCATTGGAGTGTAGCAAGTGTAAAGAATTAAAACCAGTGGACAGTGAGTGCTTGGGTACCCAAGTAAGAAGTTATACTTCTAGAAAATTAAATGATAAATAATAAAATTATAAATATAAGTATACCTCGCATGAAACGATATTATGTACGAAGGTGGTGCAATTATTGTTGGAATGACTATACCTACGTTAGTTGGGTGTGATTTCAATAAATATTTTAATATCTAATAACAGAACAACTATAAACAATATTTTATGTCACAATACAATATCAACAACATGGCAGCTGGCCAGTAAAAGACTGTGCTCTTTCATCGAATCTTCCAATGGTTTCAAAACAAATTCTTAAGAAAATAAGAAATATCCTTATATAAAATAGCAGATCGTTCAACTGTATTCTTTTTCACATGTTTAATTTAAAGAATTTTTAATTTAAAATGTAACCTTATGGAAAAATCACTTTGAATTGGTTAAGATATATATATATAGAGCTCTCATTTTTTTGTATGGAAGATTACTATTAGATAAACCTGTTTCATTTTCAAATAAATCTATAATTTTTTTTCTTCTCATTAACACAACAAAAAAGGGGCCAAGTATGCGTAAAAGCGTGTATGTAAGTTCATCCTTATAAGAAAAATAATTTCCAGCGTTGCAGCATATATTTGCGCTCCTCCCACCTCTCTGAATTTTGTTCTCAATCACAAAAGAAAAATTGTAAAAGAAGAAAACGCAATAAAAATCTATTATTGTATTTATACAGTACGATGTTTTTTTTTTTTTTTCATTTATTAAAGTTCAGAAAAAATGTGAAAAAATTGTATAAACAACAATTTATTTAATAATATAAGACGTCCAATGACAGTTGGTTGATAATTAAAATAACGTTCAATGGTGGTACTGTCAAATTTTGTATTTATTAAAAAACAAAACGACGTTCCGGCCGTTTGGACAATGTTCCGGTCTTTATCAGGTACAAAAATCTNAAAATCAATTATTGTATTTATACAGTACGAAAATTTTTTTTTTTTGAATTCTGAAAAAGTGAGAAAAAATTGTATAAACAACAATTTATTTAATAATATAAGACGTCCAATGACAGTTGGTTGATAATTAAAATAACGTCCAATGGTGGTACTGTCAAATTTTGTATTTATTAAAAAACAAAACGACGTTCCGGCCGTTTGGACAATGTTCCGGTCTTTATCAGGTACAAAAATCTATGAGTAAAAAAAATTCTTTACAATACAAATTTTGATAAATACAATAAACGCAAATTAAGTAAAGTGTACAATATACCTCTGACTCTTACGAAAAGAATGTAAAATCGTAATGTAGTCAGAGTTTCAAGTTTTATTGCTTTTGTACCCTGCACATACACAAATGACACAGTATACGCACATAATACAATAAAATAAAAATCGCAAGCAATTCCCTGTGAGACACACGTAAACAGATTATGTTTTCCTAATACCATAAATGAAAGCGGCCCTCAAATCATGTGAATCAAGTTAGTCAATCAATCAATCACTCATTAGTCAACGAATGTAACAAACTCCTGTCATTCAAATCCAATTTGACAAATTTCAAAAATGAAGAAAGTAAGTACCGAAAAAGAAAAAGAAGATATGAATATTAAAAAAAGAAGTTGAGAGGCGTTGGCTCAGTGGTAAGCGTGCTTGCTACTGATACAACGCTGTTCTAGGGGTCGTGGGTTCGATTCCCGGTGAATGCAGATTTTTTCAAAAACTGTTTTCATCGGGAAAAGTTCCTATATGTAACCCCGGCTGTTTCGGGGCGGATTTTTCCGTGGAATTTTCCTTCAGAGTAATTCCAGGGTTTTTTCCTTGCTCCACAGGTCTTCGGGCCTGGGTGAATGCGAAACAGTGTTAGGGCCTAATAGGTAGGGATTAGCGGGCCCGATGCCAGGCAGGGATCGCCGGCCTTACCGGCGAGGAGTGGTGGCCCCTGAAACGTGAGGCCTCTCCGGGGATGCTAATTAGCCTGGATCCGATGCTTCGGACCCAGGCTACATAGTGGCGAGTTGACCCGATGCACTTCCCTCCGGTGCAGAGAGTGTCAGCTTAACTGACAAGGTGTGTTACACCGGAGATACTTCCACTGTGCCCATGGTATGATTTGTATGGTATCAATTAAAGAGTAGATTTGGGGTAAATGGGTGTGGCAATACACCCCCACCACATAGGTGGTGAGTGGGTGGCCCCGGCGACTGGGCCAATAGGCTGTCGCGGTAACCCGATATAAAAAAAATAAGAAAAGAAGTGAAAAAGTTGTCTCTAGTGGGACTGAGCCATTCCATTGTGATATAAGTGGTTTATTGTACCGGGTAGATACTTTACATACTTTAAATATTATGATATAAGTACATTCAATGTTTAATGAGGTTTGAGTATAGATATATATGTATAGATTTTTTACTTTTTTTATATTATAGCGCTTTACGTCTGGCGCTTATACAGGGCACTGCTCAGGGCACTTAGCACTGCGGAGAAGGAAGCAAGGAAGGAAAGAGGGATGAGTGGCCTCTTATTACTGGGAAGGGGGTAGGGGGAATTAGGCAATATTGCTTCAAAAGAAGTTCGCCTAAAGTGCCTAAACCCTCCTCGAGAAGCATTGCGTGCTTGGTGAAAAAGCACATGTGAAAATTCACAGAGGTACAATTGTAAAATAGACTACTCGTTCTTGTGTACGGCGCTAAAGCACAAGTAGAAAGAGACACAACATCGAACGTGTATATATGTCTCTCTCGCACGTTGCCAACGGTGGGGGGCAGTAAACACCCCCCATACCCCAGCCGGGCAACATATATTGAAAATAAAAACTAAATAAGCGAATCGACAAATTTTAATTAGCACCTTTCAATAAACCAAATTGTATATATAATTACCTCCTTTTCAGAAAAAAAGTAATAACTACAAAATTCACGCTATCCTTTCGACTGTAGCAAATAAAAAAGTACGTCATATTTTAAGTCTGCACTGGACTTAAAAAATACTTCCCAATTACCTCACAAATTATTCTCACAACATGCGAGAGAGACAGTTATACACGTTCGATGTTGTATCTCTTTCTACTTGTGCTTCAGGTGCCGTACTGTACATAAGAACGAGCAATCTATTTTTTGTCTATGGGTAAGTATACTTGCTCAAAAAAGTCGCACTGACCGGGTATCAACCTAGCCGACTGATATA